GCACACACCTGTAATCTTAGCATTTCGGAGGCTGAGCTAGGGAGGATCTCTGCAAGTCTGAGGTCAGCCTGGGCTACACGGTGAACACAAGGCCAACCTGAACTACACAGTAAGATCCTGAAAAACAAAAAAAAGCTATCAGTGGCTATTGTGTTGATGATAAAAAGACATTTGATATAGATGCCAAGGAGGTGATGCCCAAGTCAAAGATAGGACAATACAGTATTTTTAAAAAGCCATAATGGAGTGGTTTTTAAAAGACAATATAAGAGTTAAACTTTTAATTAATTTAATTAAATTGAAAAAGAATTTCACACTTTTAGTATTTCAATGAGAATAAGATTTCTCAAGTTTGACAAGCAAAAAATGTTAGTGGAAGCCATTTCTATATTCATTACACCTGTACTCCTCCACAGGAATTCTCCAAAGTGTAACGTTAATAATGATAGTAAAACAAAATGCACTTGCCTAAAAAATAGTTTATTATTATTTTAGGACCTTGTTAGGAACTTGAGCAGAGATACAGCTGCTTGATTCTTCTTTTTCTTTTAATGGTAGCAAAGTTTTGCATTTATTAAAGGGAGCAAAAGAAACAAGTTCTGCAGAACAAGTTTGGAGCAAGTAAAAGGAAAAGAAATTTGCTCCACAAGAGAAAGCAGGCTGCTGTGAAAGGACACAGCAATGGATTCGTCTGTTCTATATAGCGTCAGCTATGCTCACTCACGGGTGTCCAACTGGTGGCTGATCTGGAGGATCCAAAACTACTCCACTCAGATGTTTGGTGCCTTATTTGGCATGTTTGGAAGACAAGGTTCAACAAGGTGCCTTTCCCTGTCTATGTAGTCTCAGAGCCTCTTCATACGGGCTCTTTAGTAAAGCAGTCAGACTTTTTCACATGACACTTTAGGGTTTACCAAAGTACTTCAAGCAATGAAGTAACCCAAAGCCATGCATGGTGGGTACCCTGTAATCCCAGTATTCTTTGAGGTTTAGGCAGAAGATTGCAAGATTGAGCCTAGCTTGGGCCACCTAGTAAGACCCTGACTCAAAATCAAATAAATAGATTAATAAATAAAAAAGGCTGAGTGTATAGGTTAGTGCCCAGAAACTGGCATAGGAATAGTTCTACTATATTCTATAGGGAAAAAAATCACAGAGCCTACTCATATTCAAGGCAAAAGATGTGGGTTCCATCTCTTGATGGAAAGAATGTCAAATAACTTGCAACCATTTTTTGTCACAGTTTTATATCATCATCTTATAAATAAAGTTATAGCACAGAGTAGTTTAGTATCTTATTTAATATAACACAAGTAGGAAAGTAGTGGAACAGAGATGAGTACCTTTCCCACATTTGTTATATTAACAGAATTAGTTCTTTTAACACTAATGTGCTGAAACTTCAGGTATGAATGATGGTAGACTAGGGCCCTAAATGCCTGCTTAGGCAAGTGCAGGGACTGGGGTTTAATCCCTGGCACCACATACTGCACCAGTCTGGCTGCATTGAGCTGGCCACCATGGTGGTGCACACCTGCAATCCCAGTGCTTGGGAGACTGAAAACAGGAGGATCACTATGAGTCTGAGCTGCACAGTGAGACTCTGTACCTAACACATAAAAAACAAAAAATGAATGATAGTAAACTATATTAACACTTTTTCAATGGCATAAAACCCTTTTGCTTAATCTAGACACCTGTGAAACAAAAGATTATTACATTCATACAATGTTCATAACATAGGACTGATTAGACTTTCTTATATTTTTACATTATGAATTTTCAGATGATGGGTAAGGTGTGAATGTTGTCTAAAGGCTTTCTTACATTCTTTACATTCATATGGTTTCTCACCAGAATGAATTCTAAGATGTTGAATAAGAGATGAATTAAGTCTAAAGGCCTTCCTACATTCTTTACACTCAAAAGGTTTTTCACCAGTATGAATGCTCTGATGTAAAGTAAGTTTTTGGCGCAACCTAAAGGCCTTCCCACATTCCTTACATTTATAGGGTTTCTCACCAATATGAATACTCTGATGTTGTGTAAGTTGTGAGAGTAGTCTAAAAGCCTTTCCACATTCCTTACAATCATAAGGTTTAACACCAATATGAATACTCTGGTGTGAAATAAGTTGTGAGTAACGGCTAAAGGCCTTCCAGCATTCCTTACATTCATAGGGTTTCTCACCAGTGTGAATTCTGTGATGGAGAATAAGATGATAACCACGACTGAAAGTCTTTCCACATTCCTTACATTCATAGGGCTTCTCACCAGTATGGATCCTCTGGTGGAGTGTGAGTTGTTGTCGTACTCTAAAGGCCTTCCCACATTCCTTACATTCATAAGGTTTCTCACCAGTATGAAGTTTGTGATGCACTCGAAGGCCAGAGCCACACAGAAAGTCCTTCCCACACTCTTTACACTCATAGAGTCTGTCAGCAATATTAAGCTTCTGATGTCGAGTTAGGTGTGCATATTGTCTAAAGGCCTTTCCACATTCTTTACATACATAAGGTTTCTCACCGGTGTGAATCCTCTGATGGAGAGTAAGTTGCCCTCGTACTCTAAAGGCCTTCCCACATTCTTTACATTCATAGGGCTTCTCACCAACATGAATTTTCTGGTGTACTCTGAGGTCTGGGCCACATATGAAAGCTTCCCCACATTCCTTACATTCATAAAGTTTTTCACCAGAATGAAGTCTCTGATGTCGAGTAAGATGTGCAGTCTGCCTAAAGGCCATCCCACACTCCTTACATTCATACGGTTTTTCACCAGTATGAATTCTGTAATGAAAAGTAAGTTGTTGGCGCACTCTGAAAGCCTTCCCACATTCCTGACATTCATAGGGTTTCTCCACAAAATGAATCTTCGGATATGGAGTAACTGATGTACACTTTTGGTAAGAGGATACTTTTTCAGATATAACCTTCACTTGACTGAAATAATTCTTTTGCAGTCCCTCTTGTCCTTCAATACTTTTGGACTCCCAGTCATTTTTTAAAAGGAGACTCTTAAGGCCATGGTTTTTTATTCTTTCCATTATCTTCCACTGGGATAAATTTAACTCATAAATTTTATTCTCTGAAAATAACTTCTTGTTCTCATAACTAGTCTCCAAATCTGAAAGAAAACAAAAAGCAAACACATGCTGTTTTCTTTTTCTAAAAGAAGTAAAATATCTACAGTTGAAATAAAAGACAATAAAGTAATAGTCAACAATACTCAAACCCTTTTTTTTTATTTTGAAAAGGGAAAAAAAAAAGGGCAAAGGGAATACTACAAAAATGTGAATACAGATTGGGGAGATAGCTCAGCAGTCTAAGTGCGAGCCAGGCAAACTCAAGGACTCAGGTTCAATCAATCCCCATACTACATCCCATGCTGGCCCCAGAACCCTGGGCACACTAAGCCAGCCACCAAAACCAGAAATGGTGGCACATGCCTGTAATCCCAGCACTGGGGAAGCTGAGACAGGAGGATCACTATGAGTCTGAGCTGTGTAGTGAGACCCTGTACCAAATAAATGATTTTTTAAAATGTGAGTGCATATAGATACAGGAGATTTTTTTTTTTATTTTATTTATTTATTTATTTATTGTGTGTGTGTGTGTGTGTGTGTGTGTGTGTGTGTGTGTGGCCAGCTCAGCCCACCAGGGCGCGGCCCTGGCTGGCATGTGGTGCTGGGGGATTGAACCGCGGTCCCTTTGCTTTGCTAAGTTTGTTCTAAGTAGGTGCTTTAGACCACTGAGCCATCTCACCAGTCCCAGGAGATTGTTAATTAAATAAACATTTGAAGACAGTAGGTCTGAAACTGATACGCAGACCAGAATCAGTGAAGAACTTATGAAGTTTTAAGTCTGACCTAACCCACCTAGATAACTACAGTAACTTTTAAAATACATCTAACATGGTTTATTTTTCTGAGACTGTATTACTGATCACTGAAGCTATACAAATTTTGTTTTTCAAGACAGGGTCTTCCTTTGTAGTTCAGGCTGGTCTTTAACTTACTATGTAGCCCAGTTTGGCTTCAAACTTATGGTAATCCTCCTGCCTCAGCCTCCTAAATGCTAGGGTTACAGATTGTACCACCCGCACCCAGTTTATCATGTTTAAACCAATAAGTTTCTACAGACAAATACGAGAATGTGGTCAGATTTCCCATTTACTTCCCCAGAAAAGTGTTTTCTCCCTTGCAATAGTACTGGGGATTGGACTCAGAGACACTACTACTGACATACATCCACATACATCCTTTTCTAACTTTGAGAAAGGGTCTGGCTAAGCTCATGGAAGGACCTAAACTCATGATCCTTCTTCCTTGGCTTTCTCATTACTATATTGGAGTTATAGCATGGGACACAACATCTGGCTCCTAGAAAAAAAGATTTCTACAGGCTGGTTGTGGTGGCAATTCCTATAATCCCAGTGCTCTGAGAGATTGAGGCAGAAGGATACCAGTATAAGTCCAAATTGGGCAATTTAGTGACTTAGTAAGACTCTGTCTTAAAATAAAAAATAAAGGGGTGAGGATATAGCTCAATGTAAAGGCCCTGTGTTCAATCCCAAGTACTGCCAAAAATAAAAGTTATTAAAGATTTAAAGATAGGCCATCCAACACAGGCCATTGAAATCCAAATTCTAGAGGCCGGTGACATAGCTCAGCAGACTAAAGCACCTGCTTAGGCAAGCTTAGGCAAGAGCAGGGGCCACGGTTCGATCCCTAGTATCACATGCATGGGCTGAGCCAACCAGAGTCTGGGCATAGCAGTGAACACCTGTAATCCCTGTGCTGGGGAGGCTAAAAACAGGAGGATCACTATGAATCATAGTTGAGACCCTGTAACAACCAAATATCTTAAAAAAAGAATTAAAGGAAAAAAGGAAATCCAAATTCTATTTCAATTTAGTAAGAAATGAAAAACTTCAAAACTTCTTATAAAAAGATATTGCATAAATGAAAATAGCTCACAAAACAAAACCAAGTAATGATTTTCTATAAAACAACACATTAAAAAATTCAGTATCATTTATTATAAAAATGTTAAGGTAGGCTAAGGGAAAAAAACACATTACAAAACAACTGAAAAGTTTTCTTCTATTATTTTTTTCTTCTTCTTTTTTTGGTACCAGGGATCAAAGTCAGGACCTTGTGCTTGCCAGGCAGGCACTTACGCCACTGAGCTATCTTCCTGGCCTCTTCTATTATTCTTTGATTGTATTATTTTTCATTTATATTTTTTCCTCTCCTCTATTCTGTTG